ATGTTCATCAGCTGTCTAATGAGCATGTATGTGCTCTTTTTAGGGGACTTATGGGGCCCTCTCCTCCTCTGTGTCACTCTGGCCTTGTGAGTAGTAACACTGTCAGAACTATTGTCACTATGACTCCAGCAGATATAATATATTTATAATATAATCTATCCCAGAATGCTGCAGGGTGGGTCTGTTGACAGTGAGGAGGATGGCAGGCCACAGTTTGCAGAAGTCTTTGTCATCATTTGGTTCGGTTCTGTAATCATCACTCTCAATTCCAAACTTCTGGGAGGAACTATGTGAGTAAACAGTCAGATATTCATTTATGTTTATTTGCTTGTGAGAAGCCTGCATAAAAGAGAGCACCTTACATTTTTTGAATATGACTTTCATGTTGTCAGTTTAGTTGGTAACATGCATATTAAAAAAGGAGTGTGTTGCCTGTTATTTATCAGCTTTACCTACAGGTGGGAAGTTGTCTCATAGCTTGAGGTAGGAAAGAGCACTTTTCAGTGTATTGGGAATGTTAGTCAACCAGATGCAGGAAAATCATTTAATGCCACTGGAGCAATGAGAGAACAGAGTGGGGGTGATAATAATTAAATAATAATAATAGTTTCTTTTAGCCATCAGAGACCCAGACATTGATATTCATGATTTTTTTTTCACCATTAAATATGCCTTTATGAAGCCATCAGTTATAAAAAAAACAAACAAAAAAAACATTTTGTTTAGGAAAAATTAGCATCTGAAATAATAACAAAATTGCAACGTTGGACAAAATTTCGCCACTGTTTTTTGATGCAGTAATTGAAAGTTTTGACTTTACAACTAATTTAGGATTTGATCAATTAAATAGTGTAGTAAATAAATCAAATGATATTTTAAATATAATCTACCAATTTAAATGTCAATGAATTTTTAAGAACATTTCAATTCAAATAAAGCAATAAGCCCCAAGAAGGGTTTAGCTGTTATAAATTCACTTCACGGGACTTATTGTAGGTTATTCCATATAGATAGTAAGGTTTCACAGAATAAAACAGAGCAAGTAAAGTGTAATGATATTAATAAAAACAGTATTCTTCCACCAAACAATGTAGTTCCTGAGAAACAGTTGTGGTTCCACCAAAGTGGTTGCCAAGCAACACACAGAAGTAAACAAAGGTGTATGTTTGTAGTGTAATTTACAACAGCTTCAAACACGGCTCAACCAATCAGAATCAAGGACCGGAACTATCCGTTTTATAATCAAATATAAATGTTCACAATTTCAAGACAGGGTGTCACTAGACAAAAAAAAAAAAAAACCTAATTAGATATAGATAACAGATACTTTTAGCAAACTGTTGCACTTAATATGCAACGTTTGTCCCACCATAACTGTGATAAGTATGAGTGTCAGCCACTGTTATTTTTACTTATAAGCCTAAGTTACATCCTACAGATTTTTTTTTTCAATATCATGTTTCGTTCAGAAATTTCACATTACATAAATAGATGGTAACCCTCTGAATTTGCAATTTGTTCATTGGCGTCTTCTAGACAATTTAGTGAATAAAGTTAAATTAATGTTTGAGCACACTACGGATACAATGTTGTTAACTGACTTTTTCACTCTTTGTCTATACAGATCATTTTTCCAGAGTCTTTGTGTGTTGGGGTACTGTATTCTCCCTCTGACTGTGGCCATGATAGTGTGTCGTATAGTTCTCCTGGGAGGCTCAGGCCTCGTCAGTTTTGTAGTCCGTCTCATAGTTGTCACCGCCTCCTTCAGCTGGTCAACGTTTGGTAAGAATCAATCAATTTTTTAATCTGTTTTCAGCATTCCCAGAATACTAAAGGCCCTGTGGCTGTTCATAGCACAAATGTTTAGAATCCATGTATGTTGTCTGCACCAGATGAGCCTGAGTGGCCAACAAGCTCCTCAGGCAGTGCATACAGTGACCACCAGGTGGGAGTGTAGACTCTTTTAATGTATTGGTTTTTTTTGGTTAAAATATTTGAGCTTCATAGGCATGAGAAAAAAAAATTACATTTGAATGGCTCACAGGGCAAAATAAACTAATAAAAGTACAATAATTCTTAATAGAATAGCCAGTATTATTTTAATTTTATATTACTATTATAGTATTTATTAATATTTTTAATTAGCTTTCATTTTTATATTTTCAGCTTTCATTTTAATTGTATTACGTTTAATAATTTTGATATGTGCATGTGCCATTTTTATTGTTTTTTATATTTCTATAAAGTTTTAATTAATTTATTTTAGTTTCAGTAATTTTAGTATTTAAACTTACTTACTTCAGTCAGTTGCTATATTTGTAATGTTTTAGTTTTAGTTAACAATAATAAAATATCTGCATTTTGCAGTGCAGATGGGAAATATTGCCTGCAACTAAAACTAGAAAACTAGCCTGCAAATCTGCAATTCAGACAAAAGAAAATCAATTACAAGCTGTTTTTTCAATAATATATTACAGAGATAGCATCAATTAAACAAGTTATTCAAGTGCTGAAGAAGAAAATTTGACTAGATTTACCAATAATAAGTAGACGCAGATGTCAGTTGACTGATTGTCTCCCTCTTGTACACACAGTCTTTAGGGGATTTCATTGAGATCTGAGGTTAATATCTCTGTGTGTGTCTTTCATTCACAGCCTCCACAGCATTTCTTGCAGACAGCCAACCACCCAATAGGAAAGCCCTGGTCGTGTATCCAGTGTTCCTCTTCTACTTTGTGATTGGCTGGATGATTTTGACATTTTCGCCTTCTCATTAGCATATATACACCCTCTGCCAATTGGAAAATGAACACCTCCCCTTTGCTAAGACAACCAGCAGACTGTCTGGGAGCTGGCTAGTGATTGGCCTAGCCTAAAAAAAGGTGGAACACTTTGATGGACACTCATAAAGGGACAACCCGAGGGCAGTAAGTGGATTATTGCATAGATATCACTCCTCCCCATCCCTCATTCAGTTGAATAAGTGGAGAGAAAAGGAGTGGAGGACATTAATTCTTCAGTGCTACTAATTTAACAACAGCCTACATGTCTTCATTATATGAATGTTTTGTTGTGTGAGGAACATTAGTGCCCTTCTGAGCAGTTCCAGATGTACTCACACCCCTAACGTGGAGGCGTAGGATTATCATGATCTGTGTGTCTTCATGTGTGGATGTGCTTACTCAAGCATAGTATGTGACTATGTGAGGGTGCATGTATTTGTTATTTTATCTGATTGAGCATTGTCTCTGTTGGAAAAATTCAGCTATCATCAGGCCACACATCAGTCTCCTCACATTGCTACACACGTTTCTTTTCTTTGTTTTTTTTCTTTTTAGTAGTGAATGATGTTTGGGCTACATTACATTTATTTTTCATTCGTGGAAGTTAGTATATTCCAGAAGGAAATAAACATGGACTTTAATAAGCGCTGCATATATTGTGTGCGCGCTCTCTTTTTTGCACATAGAAAATGAAAAATGTATCTTAAGGTTAAATTGGAAGTGCTGTTTCTGCAGCATTTAAGCAATCCTTTCGCACACATCTTTTTAGAGACACATCGGCAACCTGTCTTCCTCTGTTTCCCTCACATAGAGAAACACCCGCACACAGTCTTCACTCCTCTCTCTCTCTGCTTTTGCTGCTCTATGTGATGGTAATTCTAATTAGACTTTCCATCTTGTATGTCTAAAAAAAGACTTTAATTTTCACTTCTAATGCATTGCAGCACCTGAACCATAAGGTGCAATTGAGGTGTGTGTGTGCTGATTAAATAAAGGTGTGTGAGTGTTAGAAAATTGTCAGTGTTTTCTTCTGACCTTTATATGTCTGTATCCAACAGTGTTGTGTTTGCTAATTTGCGCTGCTGTGATGCCTTTCTGTTATTATTACTCATTTCTCAGTGTCATCATCACTGCTGTGGAACTTAAAAGAAAGTGTTTTGAGAAATGTCTCAGTGCTTTTTTAGCCCATACAATGGAAGTCAATGGTCATCAAAACGGTTTGGTTGCCAAAATTCTTTAAAACGTTTTCTATTGTGTACCACTGAATAAAAGAAAGTCAAAGTCTTGGAATGACATGAGGGTGAGTGAGGTTAATAAAGGCCATTCTGAAGCGAATCAATGCATTTGTATAAGAAAAATATCCATATTTAAAACTTTATAAACCGTAATCTTTAGATTCCACTAACTGTCGTACGTGCATTCACAAGAGAGTGGTTCATCCACTCCAGCGGAGGATGTAGGCATAACGTAAGCTCAGATGAGAAGCAGTTATGATTTAGAAGTACAAAACAAGGATTTGTAAAGAAAATTTCAGAGGATTTCAATATAATCCAAAAGGTGACTGGTTTTACTTTGCTTGAAAGAAAACTTCTTTTTGTGCAAGACTAGCATATTCTCACCATATCTTATGCTATGCCTACATCCTACATCATCCGCTGGAACACCACTCTGTCTCTAGCGTATGACAGTGGAAGCTAGAGATTACTGTTTGTAAAGTTTTAAATATAGATTATAAATATATATATATAAACACTTCACTTCAGGAGGCCTTTATTAACCCCCAGGAGCCGTGTGGCGTACGTTTTATGATGGATGGATGCACTTTATTGGACTTCAAAATATATAATAGTAGTGAACACCCATTCATTACCATTATAAAGCTGGGAAGAGCCAGGATTTTATATATATATATATATATACAGTGGGTACGGAAAGTATTCAGACCCCCTTAAATTTTTCACTCTTTGTTATATTGCAGCCATTTGCTAAAATCATTTTAACTGTGATAAGTATGAGTGTCAGCCACTGTTATTTTTACTTATAAGCCTAAGTTACATCCTACAGATTTTTTTTTTCAATATCATGTTTCGTTCAGAAATTTCACATTACATAAATAGATGGTAACCCTCTGAATTTGCAATTTGTTCATTGGCGTCTTCTAGACAATTTAGTGAATAAAGTTAAATTAATGTTTGAGCACACTACGGATACAATGTTGTTAACTGACTTTTTCACTCTTTGTCTATACAGATCATTTTTCCAGAGTCTTTGTGTGTTGGGGTACTGTATTCTCCCTCTGACTGTGGCCATGATAGTGTGTCGTATAGTTCTCCTGGGAGGCTCAGGCCTCGTCAGTTTTGTAGTCCGTCTCATAGTTGTCACCGCCTCCTTCAGCTGGTCAACGTTTGGTAAGAATCAATCAATTTTTTAATCTGTTTTCAGCATTCCCAGAATACTAAAGGCCCTGTGGCTGTTCATAGCACAAATGTTTAGAATCCATGTATGTTGTCTGCACCAGATGAGCCTGAGTGGCCAACAAGCTCCTCAGGCAGTGCATACAGTGACCACCAGGTGGGAGTGTAGACTCTTTTAATGTATTGGTTTTTTTGGGTTAAAATATTTGAGCTTCATAGGCATGAGAAAAAAAAATTACATTTGAATGGCTCACAGGGCAAAATAAACAAATAAAAGTACAATAATTCTTAATAGAATAGCCAGTATTATTTTAATTTTATATTACTATTATAGTATTTATTAATATTTTTAATTAGCTTTCATTTTTATATTTTCAGCTTTCATTTTAATTGTATTACGTTTAATAATTTTGATATGTGCATGTGCCATTTTTATTGTTTTTTATATTTCTATAAAGTTTTAATTAATTTATTTTAGTTTCAGTAATTTTAGTATTTAAACTTACTTACTTCAGTCAGTTGCTATATTTGTAATGTTTTAGTTTTAGTTAACAATAATAAAATATCTGCATTTTGCAGTGCAGATGGGAAATATTGCCTGCAACTAAAACTAGAAAACTAGCCTGCAAATCTGCAATTCAGACAAAAGAAAATCAATTACAAGCTGTTTTTTCAATAATATATTACAGAGATAGCATCAATTAAACAAGTTATTCAAGTGCTGAAGAAGAAAATTTGACTAGATTTACCAATAATAAGTAGACGCAGATGTCAGTTGACTGATTGTCTCCCTCTTGTACACACAGTCTTTAGGGGATTTCATTGAGATCTGAGGTTAATATCTCTGTGTGTGTCTTTCATTCACAGCCTCCACAGCATTTCTTGCAGACAGCCAACCACCCAATAGGAAAGCCCTGGTCGTGTATCCAGTGTTCCTCTTCTACTTTGTGATTGGCTGGATGATTTTGACATTTTCGCCTTCTCATTAGCATATATACACCCTCTGCCAATTGGAAAATGAACACCTCCCCTTTGCTAAGACAACCAGCAGACTGTCTGGGAGCTGGCTAGTGATTGGCCTAGCCTAAAAAAAGGTGGAACACTTTGATGGACACTCATAAAGGGACAACCCGAGGGCAGTAAGTGGATTATTGCATAGATATCACTCCTCCCCATCCCTCATTCAGTTGAATAAGTGGAGAGAAAAGGAGTGGAGGACATTAATTCTTCAGTGCTACTAATTTAACAACAGCCTACATGTCTTCATTATATGAATGTTTTGTTGTGTGAGGAACATTAGTGCCCTTCTGAGCAGTTCCAGATGTACTCACACCCCTAACGTGGAGGCGTAGGATTATCATGATCTGTGTGTCTTCATGTGTGGATGTGCTTACTCAAGCATAGTATGTGACTATGTGAGGGTGCATGTATTTGTTATTTTATCTGATTGAGCATTGTCTCTGTTGGAAAAATTCAGCTATCATCAGGCCACACATCAGTCTCCTCACATTGCTACACACGTTTCTTTTCTTTGTTTTTTTTCTTTTTAGTAGTGAATGATGTTTGGGCTACATTACATTTATTTTTCATTCGTGGAAGTTAGTATATTCCAGAAGGAAATAAACATGGACTTTAATAAGCGCTGCATATATTGTGTGCGCGCTCTCTTTTTTGCACATAGAAAATGAAAAATGTATCTTAAGGTTAAATTGGAAGTGCTGTTTCTGCAGCATTTAAGCAATCCTTTCGCACACATCTTTTTAGAGACACATCGGCAACCTGTCTTCCTCTGTTTCCCTCACATAGAGAAACACCCGCACACAGTCTTCACTCCTCTCTCTCTCTGCTTTTGCTGCTCTATGTGATGGTAATTCTAATTAGACTTTCCATCTTGTATGTCTAAAAAAAGACTTTAATTTTCACTTCTAATGCATTGCAGCACCTGAACCATAAGGTGCAATTGAGGTGTGTGTGTGCTGATTAAATAAAGGTGTGTGAGTGTTAGAAAATTGTCAGTGTTTTCTTCTGACCTTTATATGTCTGTATCCAACAGTGTTGTGTTTGCTAATCTGCGCTGCTGTGATGCCTTTCTGTTATTATTACTCATTTCTCAGTGTCATCATCACTGCTGTGGAACTTAAAAGAAAGTGTTTTGAGAAATGTCTCAGTGCTTTTTTAGCCCATACAATGGAAGTCAATGGTCATCAAAACGGTTTGGTTGCCAAAATTCTTTAAAACGTTTTCTATTGTGTACCACTGAATAAAAGAAAGTCAAAGTCTTGGAATGACATGAGGGTGAGTGAGGTTAATAAAGGCCATTCTGAAGCGAATCAATGCATTTGTATAAGAAAAATATCCATATTTAAAACTTTATAAACCGTAATCTTTAGATTCCACTAACTGTCGTACGTGCATTCACAAGAGAGTGGTTCATCCACTCCAGCGGAGGATGTAGGCATAACGTAAGCTCAGATGAGAAGCAGTTATGATTTAGAAGTACAAAACAAGGATTTGTAAAGAAAATTTCAGAGGATTTCAATATAATCCAAAAGGTGACTGGTTTTACTTTGCTTGAAAGAAAACTTCTTTTTGTGCAAGACTAGCATATTCTCACCATATCTTATGCTATGCCTACATCCTACATCATCCGCTGGAACACCACTCTGTCTCTAGCGTATGACAGTGGAAGCTAGAGATTACTGTTTGTAAAGTTTTAAATATAGATTATAAATATATATATATAAACACTTCACTTCAGGAGGCCTTTATTAACCCCCAGGAGCCGTGTGGCGTACGTTTTATGATGGATGGATGCACTTTATTGGACTTCAAAATATATAATAGTAGTGAACACCCATTCATTACCATTATAAAGCTGGGAAGAGCCAGGATTTATATATATATTTATTTATATATTCCCAGGGAACACTGTGTATACTGGGAACAAAATGTATAGCCTGAATGCACTGTAAATCGCATTTGGATAAAAGTGTCTGCTAAATGCAGAAATTATTATTATATACAGTGGGTACGGAAAGTATTCAGACTGAGTGTTAGAAAATTGTCAGAGTTTTCTTCTGACCTTTATATGTCTGTATCCAACAGTGTTGTGTTTGCTAATCTGCGCTGCTGTGATGCCTTTCTGTTATTATTACTCATTTCTCAGTGTCATCATCACTGCTGTGGAACTTAAAAGAAAGTGTTTTGAGAAATGTCTCAGTGCTTTTTTAGCCCATACAATGGAAGTCAATGGTCATCAAAACGGTTTGGTTGCCAAAAGTCTTTAAAACGTTTTCTATTGTGTACCACTGAATAAAAGAAAGTCAAAGTCTTGGAATGACATGAGGGTGAGTGAGGTTAATAAAGGCCATTCTGAAGTGAATCAATGCATTTGTATAAGGAAAATATCCATATTTAAAACTTTATAAACCGTAATCTTTAGATTCCACTAACTGTCGTACGTGCATTCACAAGAGAGTGGTTCATCCACTCCAGCGGAGGATGTAGACATAACGTAAGCTCAGATGAGAAGCAGTTATGATTTAGAAGTACAAAACAAGGATTTGTAAGGAAAATTTCAGAGGATTTCAATATAATCCAAAAGGTGACTGGTTTTGCTTTGCTTGAAAGAAAACTTCTTTTTGTGCAAGACTAGCATATTCTCACCATATCTTATGCTATGCCTACATCCTACATCATCCGCTGGAACACCACTCTTTCTCTAGCGTTATATATATATATAAACTGTGGTTGTATTCGTCTGAAAGAAGAAAGTAATATATTCCTGGTGGAATGACTTGCCCAACTCAAAAAAGCCATTTTCAAGAATCGGCTAAAAACATCTTTCCGTCTTTATTTGACCCTCTAACTCTAGCACTCTCTATTCTAATTCTATTCTTGAAAAAAAAACTAACACTACCCTCTTAAAAATAAAGGTGCTTCACGATGCCATAGAAGAACCTTTTTGTCTAAATGGTTCCATAAAGAACCTTTAATATCTGAAGAAACTTTCTGTTTCACAAAAGGTTCTTCGGATTACAAAAATGCAAGAAAGAGATGGTTCTTTAAAGAACCTTTGACTGAATGGTTCTTTGTGGAACCAAAAACTGTTCTTCTATGGCATCGCTTGAAGAACCTTTTGAAGCACCTTTATTTTTAAGAGTGTAGCTTGCTCTATTCTTTTTCTATTCTATCTGTTTTCTTTTTATTTATTATATAATTAAAAAAAAACCTTGCTCTGTGTACTGCGTTAGGCTAACTGAGAGTTGTCATAGAACTTGCATATTGCTCATTTGTTGATTTTGATTGCTTCCATTGTCCTCATTTGTAAGTCGCTTTGGATAAAAGTGTCTGCTAAAGGACTAAATCTAAATGTAAATATATATGGATGGCTTAAGTGTGAGTAAATCATGGGGTAATTTTCATGTTTGGGGAAATATCCCTTTAAGTGCTTCTTGTAGCAACATCAGCACAATTTATAAATATCAAGCTTTGTGTGTGGATTTAATAATTAGTGACAGACTCATTTGCTGTGTGTAGCTGAAGTTCCTCAACCTTTTATTAGTCAAGTGTGTCAATACAGAACCAAAGGAAGATGGAACAAAGAGGAAAGGAAAATAACAAATGTGGAAAACATCAGCAAAGACTGTTTTCCAGCTATCTGTTAATATGAGGCGTGACATTTTATGTTGGCACTTTAAAAGAGGTTCATGTTAATGAATTCGGGATATGATGAATATGTTAATGATTTGTCAGCAGCTGATTAAAGCCTGGTTGTTTGTAGTCTAACTGAGGTCTCCTGCTTCTGTAGAGGGTAGACCGTGCATGAGAGGCATAGATATGTGTTGCAGCCCAACAAACTATTGTGTTTGCTTATGTTTTTTTTTTTAAACACCTTAATGAACACTTGTTCCTTTATTTAGACTCGAAAGTTAAGTGTGTGTCCATTCTAAAACAACAAGTGAGTCATTTGGAGTAGCAGTAGAAGTTCAAATATGTTTCAGGAGTCATAGAGCAGATGCAGGTTTCCTGATTTCAAGGGAAAATACTTGAACTTTCTATTAATCAAAGAATCCTGAAAAAATGTATACTGGTTTCTACAAAAAAAATATTAAGCAGCACAACTGTTTTCAACACTAATAAAAAGCATGTTTCTTGAGCACCAAATCAGCATATTAGAATGATTTCTGATGGATCATGTGACTCGTGAGCTCATGTGATTCATGTTTGAAATTCAACTTTAAATTTTTCAAATGGAATGATTTTAAAAAATATTAAGCAGCACAACTGTTTTCAACACTAATAAAAAGCATGTTTCTTGAGCACCAAATCAGCATATTAGAATGATTTCTGATGGATCATGTGACTCGTGAGCTCATGTGATTCATGTTTGAAATTCAACTTTAAATTTTTCAAATGGAATGAATTGCATTTGAATTTATATTAAAATATAAAACAGCTATTTAAAATTGTAATTCTTTTTCATAATATTACTGTTTTACTGTATTTTTGATCAAATGAATGCAGCCTTGGTGAGCATAGATTTCTTTCAAAGTAAATTCAAAATTTTCACATTTAAAAAATCTTACAGACCTTAAACTTTTGACAGGTAGTATATATGTATGCATATATAAAGATAAAAAGAGAGAAAGAAAGAATGATGAGCTCTGTTATAACTCTATACCGTGTATCATCATGCTTTGTGTGTGTCATTATCAGAGCAGCAGCTGCAGTCTGTCAGAATGAATGATCACAGTCCAGATTCTCTGTGGTTCAACTCTAGGCTGCTGTACAGGCGCCCCGAAGCGTTGTGAACGCTGGCCGGAGTACTGTTTCTGGCCAACCAGAGATTATGGCACAGAGAAACAAAAACCTTCTCACAGGTCACCTAAGGGCATGATGGGATGCTAAAGTGCTGGAGCCTTATAGAGCAATCCAAGGTCCATGCCCAGCACAAAGGGCTCAGCCTCGCTATTGTGCCAGGTACCTGAGCTTTACCATATTGGCGTGCTCTAAAACCTCTGAAAAAGCATTCTGCTGGAGCCGACAACTTCATGGTTGCGCTTTGGGCAACCTGAGTTCGAATCCTGGCCCATTTTAGTCTCTTCTTCCCTCTCACATTGCTTCCTGTCCACTATACTATACAAATGAAAATGCCACAAAAAGGCAGTGGAAAGTGTGTAAGAGAGAGAGGCATGTTTTATTATATTAATAACAGCAATAAGAAAGTTCACTGCTGGGGCAGAGGAGAAAGGTCACTTTCAACTATGAAAGATCCTTCAGAGCAGCTGTTCTAATCTCTAACGTGATCATTACAGCGTTTTCAGACTCCAGACTTTATACTCTCTCTTTCTGTGTGAACTTCTAAAATTTCAAAATTTTAGTCGATGCTGGTGCACTGTGGCTCAGCTGACCCAAAGATGTTTTTCACCTCTTATCCAGGACAGAAGTAGCACC